TATAGTGGACATGGAAGAAGATTATCTTAGAGTACAATGGGATCTTGATCAGATGGGCCAATGGGCCAAGGAGTGTCAGATGGAGTTTAATTTAGATAAATGTGAGGTGCTGCATTTTGGTAAAGCAAACTTGGGCAGGATTTTACACTTAATGGTAAGGCCATGGGGAATATTGCTCAACAAAGAGACCTAGGGGTGCAGGTGCATAGTCCCTTGAAACTGGAGTCACAAGTAGACAGGGTGGTGAAGAAGGCGAAACAAAATCCAATAGGAACTGCAGATGCTGTAAATCAAGAACAAAAACAGAAGTTGCTGGAAAAGCTCAGCAGGTCTGGCAGCATCCGTGAAAAAAAAAATTAGAGTTAACGTTTTGGGTCCGGTGACCCTTCCTCAGAACTTAGTGAAGAAGGTGTTTGGCATGCTTGCCTTCATTGGTCAGAACATTGAGTGTAGGAGTTGGGATGTCATGTTGCAGCTGTACAGGACATTTATGAGGCCACCTTTGGAATACTGTGTATAATTCTGGTCTATAGGAAAGATGCTAAATCTGAGAGGGTGCAGAAGAGATTTGCAAGGATGTTGCTGAGACTGGTGAGTTATATGAATAAACTGGGGCTATTTTCTGTGGAGTATTGGAGGCTGAGGGAAGACCTTACAAAGGTTATTAAAATCATGAGGGGAATGGATAGGGTGAATAGCCAAGGTCTTTTTCCAAGGGTTGGGGGGTGGTGGGTCCAAAACAAGAGGACATAAGTTTAAGGTGGCAGGGGAAAGATTTAAGTTGGACCTGAGAGGTAACTTGTTCAGGAACAGGGTGGTGTGTGTATGAAATTAGCTGCCAGAGGAAGTGGTGGAGGTGGGTACAATTACATCATTTAAAAAGCATTTGGATAGGTACGTGAATAGGAAGGGTTTAGAGAAATATGGGCCAAATGCTGAAAAATGGGACTAGGTCAGATTGGGATGTCTGGTCATCATGGATGAGTTGGACCGAAGGGTCTGTTTCCATGCTGTATGATTCTATGACTCTATAACATAGATTTCCGGTTTATAGGAGATTTGCCATTGATGTGGGCCCTAAAAAATAATAATTTAGGGGTGAAAAAATAATAAAACTCACCAAAGAGGATATATCACACCACATGTAACTGAGGTGTACAGCACATGACAAGATTAATAATTTCTGATAAGCTCTAATTCTGCTGAAGATCATTCTCACATAGCATTAAGTCACTTTTATTCACTTCTTAGTGATTTATCTGCTGTATACTTAAGTGCATACAGTAATGTCTTACCGTAAATTATTCATGTTAACATGCAAACTGAAAGGATATCCCCGTTCTCCATTCTCCCTAATAGGGAAATCTTTATGGCCACATGCTTCACCTTTTCATACATGCGCTTGTGGATACTTGCTTCAAAGAACCATTTGGGTGTTCAACTTTTAGTATTGCCGTCTCGTTCCCTGTGCCAGAATGGCCTGAAAACATGCTGTGAAATTCAATCTGACATAATGGAAATAACAAGGTAGTGGTGGATAGAAATGAAAGGATTGTGACGCCAGATTGGAACATCAGATTAGCAGATACTTTTTCAGACAAATACTTCTGCACGTACCAAACACCAGTATTCCTGTTTCAAACATTTTTAGATAATTAAAAGTGTTGACGATTGGGGCCACATTTAGGGAAGCAGCTTTTCTGACAGTCTCACACTATGACTGGTCAACAACAGCTGGTATTTATATAGCAACTGTAAAACTTCCCTTACTGCTTGACACTAGAACTTCGACAGCTTGATCATAAAATGCAGGCACAGTAATAGGCCATTCAGCCCATCAAGTCTGATCTACCATTCAATAAGATCATGACGGATCCGATAATCCTCAAACCTACTTTCCGCTGTATCCCTTGACTCCCTTATTGATTAAAAATCTGCCTATGTCAGCCTTGAATATACTTATTGAACTAGCCTGAACACCCTCTGCAGTAAAGAATTCCACAGATTCACTCTCCTCTGAGAGAAGAAACTCCTCCTCATCTCTGACTTAAATGTGCAAACACTTATTCAGAGATAATGCCGTTTGATCCTAGACCTTCCCATAAGGGGAAACAACTTTTCTGCCCTGTTTAAGTCTCCTAAGAATCTTGTAAATTTCAATAGGGTCATCTCCAAGTAAGGATTTTCCAAACTCCAACGAGTACAGACCCAACATACTCCATCTCTTCTCATAAGACAGTACCCCCATACCTGGTGTCAGCCTAGAGAATTTTCTCTGGTCCACCTCAAATGTAAATAATTTCCTTAGATGAATGGCCCAAAACTATTCACAGTACTTCAGCTTGGGTATGACTAGTATCTTTGTATAATCCCTAGTTTTATATTCCATTCTCTTTGAAATAAACAGCAACATTCCATTTGCCTTCGCTATTAACCGTTGAAGTCAGATGCCAACCTTTTTTTTGTGATTCATAGATGATGACTTCCAAAGCTGTCTGTTCATAGCTTTCTGTAGTCTTTCTCCATTTATATAATATTCAGCTCTCCTATTCTTCCTGCTAATAGGGAATAATCTTACATCTTCCCACATTACATTCCATTTGCCAAGTTTTCTTTCCCATTCACATAACCTGTATACATCCCTCTGAAAACTATTTGTGTCATCCTCATCACCTACCTTCCCAACTACTGCAATATACTTATAGAGCAGAAAAAAATACTTCACCAATCAAATACACTATCCATCCATTATTGGAAATGGAGGACCTTGCCCAATTCCCTTCAGAAGATCGATATTGAATTGTTTCTTTCTATATGAGTTGCTAATCTATTCTAGAGGCGATAACTGTGGAAAAGCAGCTTCACAATGTAGATGATAAATCTTTGCTTAAGGATGCTGTATGAAAGTTGCCTCATCCTACTATTCGTATCCAACTGTCTAAATTCAAATCATTTTACATTAAAGAAAACTCAAATGTATCTCTCACTGCCATTTTTAAGCCAATCACTTTCTAATGAAAATAACCCTGACTCCTTGAGTGTACCTGATTATTAAATGCAATGACTGTGCAATTGAACCACCAGATATCGCATGTGTAGTATCACAATAAAACTACTCCTGGACATTATCTATTTAGACATCTTCATGCCAACTCATATCTGTTGCATTTTGACATTCAAAGAAATGACATCTGAAAATATCACACGTCAGCCTGTTAAACATCCAAGGTGCCACAAGTTCCTCAGACCTCCAACCATCCACAAAATCTACGTTTCTCCAAATCTGCACTAATGTGCATCCTCCTTTTCCATTGCAGTATTGTTGAAAGCTTTCAACCATTCAAATCAGAGGCTATAACATCCTTTCACAAATCTCTCTGTGGTCAACGTCTATCTTATGTCTTGGAACTCTCCTTATAAACTTCCGTTTAGACCAAGGCTTTAACCATCCCTGCTAATATTTCCATTCTTGGCTCAGCTTTTTGACTGCCTACTTGTCTGTGAAGTGCCTTAGGAAAAACAGCATACAAACAAAACAAAAACAATTTACATTCATAAAGTGCTTTTTATTGTGATAAAGCATCCACAGATGCTTCACAGCAGCAATTATTAAACAGAATTTGACACTGAGCCATATATGATATTTTGAAAGAAATGAAAAATCCAGAGGTTGGTCTGAAGGAAAATCTTAGACAGGTGAAGAGATTTAGGGATTTAATTCCAAATCTGAAAGCCTGGTTATCAGGAGGCCAATGACAAGGAGATGAAAACTGAGAGCATGCAAGAGGTCTTGGATTCAATTGGGAATTGTAGGTCTGAAAAATGTTATAGAGGTAGACAGCAAAGTTGTTGTTGCTTTAAAAGTTCTCATTACCCAGTGAAATGTAAATAGTTATGTGGGTGTGGTGTATAAGGAAACAATTTCTTTATTTACCTATCATAGTGAGTGAAAATGGTATTTTTCAAGTATCAACCACATCACCATCTCTAAGCATCTTCATACAAACCTCTTTTGTTTAAATCCATGAATGCTGGATCACATGTTCTACACACCATGTAACAGTAGAACATTCAACTCATCTTGACTATTGCCATGATAGATCAACTAGATTATCAAATAACAGTTGGTAATTGATAAATATGTAGATATAAATATTTCTGGCAACAGTAATAAAAATACAAGTTACAAAGCCAGAGGCTAAGTTTTAATGCAGAATCCCTGTGAAGGGTAATCAAGAGTTCACTTATACATCTTTCCCCAAATTTTCCGCAACCCCAAGTATCCCAGTTTATGACGATTTCTTTAACATAATCATGATTTGTTCCTGAATGGAACACAGATCTCCTATATAAGTTAGTGCAATTCGTTTAGCAAGATATAGCGTGATTTCAAATGTACAGTTAGAAGCAATTTCAGTCCTTCTGCAAACATGCAGGTCCAAGATGACAATAAATGATGTATATATTTTCATTACATTGCAATTATCAATATTTCTCTGTTAAATTCACAGCGTTTTCTGCCACTGTTTATCATGAACTTAGGTACACGTTCTTTGTAAAAGCCTTAACAATTTCAACATGAATTGATCATTCTTGGATCTCTCCAGAATTCTCTGTAACTGTCATGGATCAAAGGTAGCACAGACTCTTAAGTTTGTTAGTGTCACTAGGAAAATATAACACCACAGATAAACAATTTATTAATTGTCCAGATCAGAGCTGGGAATCCTTAAACTTGCCACGAACAACAGCACTCAAAAAGAGTAGCAACATCTAGTGGTGAACTTGTTTTTAACCTGAATTTTCAAGATTACATCAGAATTGCTTCACAGTACCACACCCAAAGTGAACAGAGCAATATCAAATATTATCCAAACCGTCATCACTTTAGTCTTTGCCAGCAAAAGTAGTCCAATGTATATAATGACTATTTTCTAACCTTGCATTTTAGACATTGTCGTAAATCATTCAGTTTAATAATGCCCAGTTGGCGTACTTACGGCAGGATGCCCAGGGCAGTAGCTGTAACTAGCATGGGATTGATAGTGAACATTAGCCCTGGGGTAGGTGTAATTGTTCCAGGCAGACTGGTTGTTGTTCCACTGTGGGGTAAAGCCAGGGCTCATGGTGACCCTTGCCTTACTGTTCTGGTATGTTCTCACTGCAGGACCTGGCTGATAGGGTAAATGAAAAGACAACTGTAAATAGGATTGAATGCAGCAAATATAAAACATGTTTTAGTATTTTTTATGATCAAATAAATAGTAACCTAAGAAATTAACCCTTTTAAGTTATGAAGTTTTAATATACTTGCACTTTAGCGAGCAATTTATTCACAAAATGTTTTGTTAAACTTTCAACCTTTTTTTATTGTGAAAATATAACATCAGAAACCAATGGACACTGACCCTGGTAGAAGATAAGCTATGATGGTGATAAGTGCTCAGCCACTTCTTAGAAGCTTTGGGCATGTTGTCAGCCTTTGATCTATTTGTTTGTCAAATATTTTGTTCTCTTGTGCTTGTTTTAAGTTCTTCCCTCCCTTTTGCCTTGATTTTGAAACTTTATTGCGATGCTTTCAAAGTGTTTTACCATGCAAGCTGACTCAAAATATTTGCTCAAGGTCTCTGCTTTTTTTCTTGCTTCTCATTATTAATTCTAATGATGGGCTGAATGGTCTCCTTCCACGTTGTAAGGTTCTATGTTTCTACTTATGAAATCTCTCACTGAGCTGTTGAACATTGCAATACATATTTATTGATTCCTATAAACAGCACAATGAAAAGGATGGAAGGGCAGCAGCAATAGAAATGTTACATTGTGTTAATATTTTTTATTCACAAAGAAATACCTTGGAGCACTTTGCAGGTACGAATGAGGATGAAATGGAAAAGGGGGCTTCATAGGAAGATCAAGGGAAAACACAATTGCAGAGAAGGATTTTGAAAGCAGAGAGCAAAAAATGAGATGTTGAGACAGTTCCAATGGGCAGATATAGAGGTTGAAGAACCAGCTGCCAAATGAGGGAAGTGGAGCCCACAAAACAACACAGAAAGCGTGGAGAAGCAGACAGCCATCAGAGATCACGAACTTAGATCAAAGATAGGCTGGCATGAAATTATCATGAATGTCAGAGCAACAGCAAGGATCATAACGTTAACTGAAAGATGGCAAATATTGGCATGATTGAGGGTGTCCCCATGTTTTAAGATAAAGACACAAGCTGCATTGACTGTTAAAGAGGACCAGCAAATAAAAACAAGAACTTGAGCAGGTTAAATCCTGCATGTCAGATTAAAACTGAGAAAATCAAAAATCTCATGTATTGATTTTCACACTTTCTCACAATCCTTGAATTTGTACTTCTATTTCTAATCCAAGAAAATAAAGCTTTTAAACTCCCCAGTATCTCCCGGCTTCAGCATTCTCCACACATGCATGAAGGATGGAAGTGGGCAAACAATTTCCTGTGTATGTTAAATTTCCTGTAGCTGCTGATTAAGAATTCAGACTGTCGCAAACTTCCTCAGCATCTTCTGTCAGGCTTCTTGCAGGAGAATTAAATGTTTGTATGATTTTGGAAGCTGAAGGAATTTTCGGGGCCAAAGCCTGAAAATCCACCAAATCCTGAAATCGCATTCAGACAGAAGCAAACAGGAAGCACTTCTGCTGCCCCCAAAAGTGCTGTGAATCAACAAAGTATAAACTCTCCAGTTGCATTTAGACACAAATATAATGAACAGAATCTTTTGTTGCCCTATATATGAAATGAGTGCAATAAGCATTACAGTACATTTCATTAGAAACCAACATTTGGCCAGTGAAGCTTGACTTCAATAACATTGAGAAATATAAGTCATTGTTCTGATTTGATCATGTTAGTTACAGATTAGGTTTTGGCCTAATAAGTGCCACTTCAATCCACTCATTTAAAGTGTCTACCTACAAGGTACAGAGCCACCACATTTTCAAGAGCTGCTTCAGATGAAGGGGGTCAATTTCCTTCACCCAAGCACTGACTCAGCTCTTGACTTTTTCTGGGGACAATTAAGTGAGAAAACTATTTGCCAATCAAAGATAGTAAGAACTGCAGATGCTGGAGTCAGAGATAACACAGTGTGGAGCTGGAGGAATACAGCAGGCCAGGCAGCATCAGAAGAGCAGGAGAGTTGACGTTTCGGTTCAGGACCCTTCTTCAGAAAGCCTTTTCCTACACTGTATATTTCTAATATGCATATCAAAGGATATCCTTGAACCTAACGCTGCACTCATATTGTAGGAACCCAGCAACACCCACATTGATTCCACCCCTGCATAACCTTACTCACCAACAATCCAATTTAAAAATTTGGCAAAACCTGACCCACAACTTCAAAGAAATTGGTGCAATCCCCCAAAACTGATTGATTAAAAACAGCTTAGTGATACTTGAAGAGTTAGATTGAAAGAATTGTGGGATTGGGCTTTAACAATTTCATCTTTTTTTAAAAAATCATTCACGGGATGAGGGCATCACTGAATGGGCATTTATTGCTCATCCCCAATTGCCCAGAGGACAGTTAGGAGTCGAACACATTGCTGTGGGTCTGGAGTCACGTGTAGGCCAGACCAGGTAAGGATGGTGGTTTTTTCCCCTAAAGGAAAACCAGCGGGTTTTTTACAACAATCAGCGACAGATTCATGGTCATCCTGAGACTCTTAATTCCAGATTTTTTATTGAATTCGAATTGTACCATCTGAGTCCAGCCATTTTGAGTTGGTGTCCACAATGACTAAGAACATTGAGTCCATGAAAGGATCTGCACAGTCGTCATGTAACCGAGTCTAGGATTTACTTGGCCTTTCCCACAAATGTGGGGGAGCTGCTGGTGGTAATTTTCTCCTTGTTGGCACTCTGGGCACTCCCCATCAATGCGGCTATGTCAACATCCAATCCTGGCCAGCAGACATAACTTCTTGCCAACATCTTCATTTTGGAAACCCCTGGATGTCCCTGGCAGAGTTCAGCCAGTATCCAGCAGTGACCTTTGCTCGGGTCAATCACTCTTGCTCCCCATAATAAGATGCCATCCTCTACTATGATCTGGTCTGTCTGGGTCCAAAATGGTTTCAATTCTGGTTGTGACAGCCCTTTAGTTTCCCCCATCACCACCAGTTGTTTCCGTTTCGCCAGGACCAGATCTTTCCCTGTCCAAACTCTGATATTGTTAGCTGTGACTGGAAGGATGTCCAGAAAGTTTAAAGCCATTACGGATTCTTCCAGTGGCTGTACCACTGGTGGTGTATCTGCCAGTGGGAGATGGCTCGAGGCATCCGCATTTGCTACTTGGCCTCTCGGACGGTATTCCAACTTGCATTTATATGTGATAACAGGGTGTAGAGCTGGATGAACACAGCAGGCCAAGCAGCATCAGAGGAGCAGGAAGGCTGACGTTTTGGGCCTAGACTCTTCTTCACTTAATATTAGAGCCCACCGCTGAAGTCGGCCTGAATTTGTCTTGATTTGATTTGATTTATTCTTGTCACATGTACCTAAGTAAAGTGAAAAGTTTTGTTTTGCTTGCAGTACAGGCAGATCATAACGTACAAGGAAAAATAGGTCACAGGGTGTTTAGACAGAGCGAGGTAAGTAAGGTTGTGGCTGCACAGGAGGTGCACAAAAGCAAGATCAATATTAGATTTGAAATTAGAGAGGTCCATTCAGCTGTCTAATAACAGCAGAGGTTGGGGGGGGCATTGTGGGTGGCACTGCCTTGACTTCTAAATAGATGTAGTTGGGGTTATGGTCTGTTACTTTTACAAATTTATACCCTTAAGGGTATTGGTTGAACTTCCTGCCTTCAAATATGACCGCCAAACCTTCCTTCTCTACCTAGGCATATTTACGCTCTGGATTAGCCAAAGTCCTGGATGCATACACTACTGGGAGTTTCTCCTTTCCATTGAGCCACCGATGCCGTACAAACACATTGCATGTCAATACCAGATCTCACTTGGGATCACAGTGTGCCAACAGCTGACAGGTTGATAGCTGTTTCTTCACTTCCCTGAAGGCTATGGCTTGGCGACGCGACCATTTACAAGGCTGATGCTTTTTTACAAGTTGATGCAAAGGTGCCAAGACGGAGGCCAGGTTATGTATGAACTTTCCATAATAGTTCAACAGCCCAAGGAAAGGCCTAAGCTCTGGTACTGACGTAGGGAGCCGGGGCACCTTTGATCACCACAACTTTATCCTCCAACGAGTATAACCCAGTCTTATCGACTCTGTAGCCCAAGTAGGTCACTTCAGGTGCCTGGAACACACACTTTTCCCTTCCAAGGCATATGCCTGACTGGGAGAACCGTCTAAGAACTATGACTAAGTTCTCTAAGTGATCCTTGTTGGCCTTCCCTGTTATTAGCACGTCATCTAGATAAGTGGCGACCTGGGGTAGTCCTTGTAAAATGGTCTCCACTGCCTGCTGAAAAAATTGCATTCGCTGATGAAAACACAAATAGCAGTCTCGTATCTTGGTACAAACCCTTATGGGTATTAATTGTAGCATACTTCTTGGAATCCCCATCTAACCGCAACTGCAAGTACACATGGCTCGTGTCCAACTTCATGAAGGACAGGCCCCCTGCCAGCTTTGTGCTTAAATCCACTAAGCGAGGGATTGGGTACTTATCCAGCTGCGAAAAGCAGTTTACTGTTTATTTACAATCTCCACAAAGGTGAACCGACCAGCCGGGCTTCACAATTGGTACAACTGGTGCTGCCCATTGCACCATCCAAACTGGTTTGATGATTCCTTCACTTTCCAGCCTTCAGGTTCCTGCCTCTAAGGCAAATGGCATTGGGTGGGCCTTGCAGAATCGTGCAATTGCTTCCTGGTCGACATGCAAGGTGGCCTTGACTCCTTTGATAGTCCCTGGACCATCCTGAAAATCCTCCAGGTATTTAATTAGGACTTCACTGAGGCAGCCATTTTCCAATCAAAAAATGTTGAGCCAATCTAGGTGAATCTTTCTCAGCCAATTTCGTCCCATCAAGCTTGGGCCCGAGCCTTTTACTACAAGCAGTGGTAACTGAAGCAGCTGCTTCTCATAAGAAACCGGAACCAGAGTTGTATCCTTAATCTGTAAATGTTCCTGGTATGGGTTGTCAATCCAGCCAAGGTCCTCCGCAAAC